GGTTAAATAATGTCATCTTCTTTATTATGGGGAACACAACGTGTCGGAGTATATCCTTACTCCTTCATCAGATGAATGATGTCAACTTATATATTACGAGGATAACGTGTCGGAGTATATACTTAATCTTTCACCAGGTGAATGATGTCAACTTGTTTATTATGAGGAACACGTGTCGGGGTATATACTTACTCCTTCTTCAAGTGAATAATGTCAACTTCTTTATTATGGGGAAAACGTGTAGGAGAATATACTTACTATATGATCAGGTGAATAATGTCAACTTCTTTAATATGAGGAACACAACGTGTCGGAGTATATACTTACTCCTTCTTCGGTTGAATCATGTAACCTTCTTTATTATGGGGAACACAACGTGTCGGAGTACATCCTTACTCCTTCATCGGGTGAATGATGTCACCTTCTTTATTATCGGGAACACAACGTGTCGGAGTATATACTTACTCCTTCTTCGGGTGAATCATGTCACCTTCTTTATTATGGGGAACACAACGTGTCGGAGTATATCCTCACTCCTTCATCAGGTGAATCATGTCACCTTCTTTATTATGGGGAACACAACGTGTCGGAGTATATACTTACTCCTTCATCAGGTGAATGATGTCATCTTGTTTATTATGGGGAACACAACGTGTCGGAGTATATCCTTACTCCTTCATCAGGTGAATGATGTCAACTTCTTTATTATGAGGAACACAACGTGTCGGAGTATATCCTTACTCCTTCATCAGGTGAATAATGTCACCTTCTTTATTATGAGGAACACAACGTGTCGGAGTATATCCTTACTCCTTCATCAGGTGAATGATGTCACCTTCTTTATTATGGGGAACACAACGTGTCGGAGTATATCCTTACTCCTTCATCAGGTGAACAATGTCAACTTCTTTATTATGAGGAACATAACGTGTCGGAGTATATCCTTACTCCTTCATCAGGTGAATGATGTCAACTTCCTTATTATGGGGAACACAACGTGTCGGAGTAGATACTTACTCCTTCATCATGTGAATGATGTCACCTTCTTTATTATGGGGAACACAACGTGTCGGAGTATATACTTACTCCTTTATCAGGTGAATGATGTCACCTTGTTTATTATGGGGAACACAACGTGTCGGAGTATATACTTACTCCTTTATCAGGTGAATGATGTCACCTTCTTTATTATGGGGAACACAACGTGTCGGACCATATACTTACTCCTTCTTCGGGTGAATCATGTCACCTTCTTTATTATGGGGAACACAACGTGTCGGAGGATATCCTTACTCCTTCATCAGGTTAATGATGGCACCTTCTTTATTATGGGGAACACAACGTGTCGGAGTATATACTTACTCCTTTATCAGGTGAATGATGTCACCTTCTTTATTATAGGGAACACAACGTGTCGGAGTATATCCTTACTCCTTCATCAGGTGAATAATGTCACCTTGTTTATTATGGGGAACACAACGTGTCGGAGTATATCCTCACTCCTTCATCAGGTGAATAATGTCAACTTGTTTATTATCGGGAACACAACGTGTCGGAGTATATCCTTACTCCTTCATCAGGTGAATAATGTCAACGTCTTTATTATGGGGAACACAACGTGTCGGAGTATATACTTACTCCTTTATCAGGTGAATGATGTCAACTTCTTTATTATGGGGAACACAACGTGTCGGAGTATATCCTTACTCCTTCATCAGGTGAATAATGTCACCTTCTTTATTATGGTAAACACAACGTTTCGGAGTATATCCTCACTCCTTCATCAGGTGAATAATGTCAACTTGTTTATTATCGGGAACACAACGTGTCGGAGTATATCCTTACTCCTTCATCAGGTGAATAATGTCAACGTCTTTATTATGGGGAACACAACGTGTCGGAGTATATACTTACTCCTTTATCAGGTGAATGATGTCAACTTCTTTATTATGGGGAACACAACGTGTCGGAGTATATCCTTACTCCTTCATCAGGTGAATGATGTCAACTTCTTTGTCATGGGGAACACGCGTCGGAGAATATACTTACTCCTTCTTCTGGTGAATGATGTCAACTTCTTTATTATGAGGAAAACAACGTGTCGGAGTATATCCTTACTCCTTCATCAGGTGAATAATGTCAACTTCTTTATTATGAGGAACACAACGTGTCGGAGTATATCCTCACTCCTTCATCAAGTGAATAATGTCAACTTTTTTATTATCGGGATCACAACGTGTCGGAGTATATCCTTACTCCTTCATCAGGTGAATAATGTCACCTTCTTTATTATGGTAAACACAACGTTTCGGAGTATATCCTCACTCCTTCATCAGGTGAATGATGTCACCTTCTTTATTATGGGGAACACAACGTGTCGGCGTATATACTTACTCCTTCTTCGGGTGAATCATGTCACCTTCTTTATTATGGGGAACACAACGTTTCGGAGTATATCCTCACTCCTTCATCAGGTGAATAATGTCACCTTCTTTATTATGGGGAACACAACGTGTCGGAGTATATCCTCACTCCTTCATCAGGTGAATAATGTCACCTTCTTTATTATGGGGAACACAACGTGTCGGAGTATATCCTCACTCCTTCATCTGGTGAATCATGTCACCTTCTTTATTATGGGGAACACAACGTTTCGGAGTATATCCTCACTCCTTTATCAGGTGAATAATGTCAACTTGTTTATTATCGGGAACTCAACGTGTCGGAGTATATCGTCACTCCTTCATCAGGTGAATAATGTCAACGTCTTTATTATGGGGAACACAACGTGTCGGAGTATATCCTCACTCCTTCATCAGGTGAATAATGTCACCTTCTTTATTATGGGGAACACAACGTGTCGGAGTATATCCTTACTCCTTCATCAGGTGAATGATGTCAACTTCTTTATTACGAGGATAACATGTCGGAGTATATACTTACTCTTTCTGCAGGTGAATAATGTCAGCTTGGTTATTATGAGGAACACGTGTCGGAGTATATACTTACTCCTTCTTCAAGTGAATAATGTCACCTTCTTTATTATGGGGAAGACGTGTCGGAGAATATACTTACTCCTTCTTCAGGTTAAATAATATCAACTTTTTTATTTTAAGGAACACAACGTGTCGGAGTATATCCTTACTCCTTCTTCAGGTTAAATAATGTCAACTTCTTTATTATGAGGCACACAACGTGTCGGAGTATATCCTTACTCCTTCATCGGATGAATGATGTCACCTTCTTTATTATGGGGAACACAACGTTTCGGAGTATATACTTACTCCTTCATCAGGTGAATAATGTCACCTTCTTTATTATGAGGAACACAACGTGTCGGGGTATATCCTTACTCCTTCATCGGATGAATAATGTCAACTTGTTTATTATGGGGAACACAACGTGTCGGAGTATATCCTTACTCCTTCATCGGGTGAATGATGTCACCTTGTTTATGATGGGGAACACAACGTGTCGGAGTATATACTTACTCCTTCATCAGGTGAATGATGTCACCTTCTTTATTATGGGGAACACAACGTGTCGGAGTATATACTTACTCCTTCATCAGGTGAATGATGTCAACTTGTTTATTATGGGGAACACAACGTGTCGGAGTGTATCCTTACTCCTTCATCAGGTGAATGATGTCAACTTGTTTATTATGGGGAACACCACGTGTCGGAGTGTATCCTTACTCCTTCATCGGGTGAATGATGTCTGTAAAACGTTGTTTTCCTCATAGTAAAGATTTTGACATCCATAAAAAAACTATCCTAATGGTATGTATCACTTCTAAATGTCATTGAAAGACCTGATATCTGTCAAGTTATCCTCTAACTGCTTTTATTCTCTTCTCTGTTCAAGAGATGAAGTTGTTAGATTAAAACTGGCCATATATGTTAAAAATGCAGTTTCCATAAGAAATACACAGCTAAAGATTGGTGTGTCGGAGGTCTAAGATACGACCACCGGCTGGTGTTCAATCTTTTATTTTACCATTTGGGTACAAACTGAGCGTGCCATTTACCTGTAATTAGGAAAACTACATTGTGAGGGCCGCCACTGCCAGCGTTGTGATCCATACATTCAGTGTTTAAACTCCCCAAATTCCAAGCTAGACAGCCGGACTACAGGTAACTTTAAAAAATTACCAGTCCGGATACAAACTTGCCTGTCCGGTTTTCAACCATAAAAAAACAAACCAAATCAGGTTTGTGAATACTTTACTGTTTGTAGGCATCGCAATGAACTACATACACGTGTTGTGATTGGTTATCGTTACATGAACTGTCCAGTCGTAAGCAGTTTAACATAATCATCATGATACCGTAAACACTTTAAACTGACGACAAGAGAACCTGTCTGATATTATGAAATATTTACTGTTCGGGGTAAAAACATCAACCAGACCACCAGACAGGCTACTTTTGAAATTTGACGTCCGCGATGAAAATAGAGCGTTCCGGACGTCGGGCAGGAGGGAATTTTAAACGCTGATCATACATTATGAATTAATATGACAAAGTAAAGCTATTATTGTGACATTTACATGATTACTAAATAGAAATAATTATGAATGTTAATGGTTACTTAACCATTATTAAATATTGTTACTAAAAATACAGGATTGCAAGTTATAAATGAGAAATTGTTTTAATATGTAACTCTTTTGTATGTGGGCCGGGGACCTTACATTCAATAAATATTTGATTAGATTTGAACCCCTGTGTTCCAATTGGCGACAAAACCAACTGTTACTCTCTGGTCACTCTACGAATACGTCATCTCGTCACCGATGGACGGGATCGTGACATCGTGGAGAGAGGAAGGTGTTTTCCAGCTCACAGTAATAATGTACCGTTGGTTGACATTTCATTGAATCTCGAAACAATAATAATATCAGTAATGATCTTATTGTAATGATGAATTCAGTCGTCTTCAAGCCACATCATGGCGGTTGGGAGCTTCACACAATGACTTTTACTTACGTCCGCCAGGTGGCCAGCAGCCAGATAACTATCTCCTGCAAGAAGTGTCGGTTCCAACTTTCGACGGCAACACGTGCGTCGCAGACCAGAACGTCCTCGTCGAGATGACCGACCCCAACAACCAGGTCTGTGCTGGTCAAGCGGGCAAGGATTCCTGCCAGGTCAGTAGACACACCGCAGACGCTGTCAACATCAAGGAAGCGTTCAGCTTTCCTGCGATTACATTTACCTCTTATAGTTTAGCTTTCACCATGTTGATGGGCGGTGTGGTAGCCCCTACACCTGCGATCAAGGTATGTACTGTCACTAACGGGGTCTTAGCACTATATAAAAGGTTCTTAGCGTTACAAGCCCCTGTGGCCTAACGGTTAAAACGTCCGCCCGTCACGCCGAACATCCGGGTTCAATTCCCCACACTTTCATAATGTGTGAAGCCCATTTCTGGTTATATTGCTGGAATATTGCTAAAAGCGGCGTAAAACCATACTCACTCACTCGCTGATTTTCACCATGTTGTCCACGTGTTGAAGTAATACTGATGAAGCTCTGTACTGTAAATGTACTTAAGGTCAGACAATGGTTACTTCCCTTAAGCAGATTTATAACTGGACGCCAGTTTTTTGTTTCATATCCAAGAGCGAATACAGCTGTGTGATCATGCATATGTATTGTGTAATGGTGACAGTGTTCACATGGGCTATACGCAGTGTTCGCCGCGTTTGCATAACGCTTACACGAAACAGTTGGCTTGCTACGCGCCTGGCAAATGACAATGTCCGCGTGGAATATGTAAAGGTCATATAAGGGACACCTTTACGTTTGCGCTGACGTATTTAAAGGTGTCTTATAGATGGAAACGATGCTTTGTGTTTCTTGTTGAGGGAACTCCTCCACGGGTGGAACTGTGTCTTGTTGAGGGAACTCCTCAACGGGTGGAACTGTGTCTTGTTGCGGGAACTCCTCCACGGGTGGAACTGTGTCTTGCTGCGGGAACTCCTCCACGGGAACTCCTCCACGGGATCTCCTCCACGGGAACTCCTCCACGGGTGGAACTGTGTCTTGTTGCGGGAACTCCTCCACGGTCGGAACTGTGTCTTGTTGCGGGAACTCCTCCACGGGTGGAACTGTGTCTTGTTGCGGGAACTCCTCCACGGTCGGAACTGTGTCTTGTTGCGGGAGCTCCTCCACGGGTGGAACTGTTTCTTGTTGCGGGAACTCCTCCACGGGTGGAACTGTTTCTTGTTGCGGGAACTCCTCCACGGGTGGAACAGTGTCTTGTTGCGGGAACTCCTCCACGGGTGGAACTGTTTCTTGTTGCGGGAACTCCTCCACGGTCGGAACTGTGGAGTAACTATAGTCCGTCAACCTAACTTTTCGAACACGGTTTTGTGCAAGTTACGTATAAATAACAGACCTAAGGCTCAATTAATAATGATATCTGATGACGTATTTGCGTGCTGAATTTAAAAATATTTTGTCAACTATTGAAGATTTTACTATCATATAAAGTTTCTAGTTCCTTGAGTAAAATCTTTAATAGTTGACATACATGTTTAAAGTTCAGCACGCAAGTAGGTCGTCAGATATCATTATAATTGAGCCAATTAAAGTTGGAGACCTTTTGTTGTTTAAACGTAACTTGCACAAAACCGTATTCCAAAAGTTAGGTTGACGGACTATAAGACATATTTTTTCTTCAGGGTGATTCTGGCGGTCCGTTGTACTGCCAGCAGAAGGGTCGACAGGTTCTGACCGGCGTGGTGTCCTACGGTACAAACTGTGGTCAGGATGGCTATCCAGTCGTCTACGCCAAGGTGTCCAGCTACGCTGACTGGATCGCTGCCCGTTCTGGCTGTTAAACTACAGACGCTTTATTAGATGAATAAATTTGTTCAGCCTTGAATTGTATCATTATTTCTTTGAAAAAAGGAGCACTCATGTTTTAATGGAGCATGTGTTAGATTTAGTTCAATTGTGTTTGTCCCGAAACTATCAAATCATTTTCTTGATTGTACAAATAAACTCATGGGCCAAAGAAAGTATAGGACTGGAAAAATTATTTTTTTCACTGTTATTGACATGGTTATGAGAATTAGACAATGTTGGCCCCTCTACTGGGAAGGGAAATACACCGCCAAAACGCAACACGTTCGAACGGTGAGAGTGAGTCTTAAGACTTTTCTACTTTGACCAGGATTCTTCGAACTTACAACAGTCGTTTGAGAGATCAAGAGAGAAAGGGGTAGTGTGCGATGTATCTGGAGGACGTATATGGAGAAAGTTCGAAGAATGTTGCTGTATAAATACAATGATAGAAATACCGGTTATGTTTGAAAAGTACCCTCAATCTGATAGCCAGTGAGATTATTGTGAAAGATCGCAATATGTATCATCCTAGACGGGCCCAGATAAAAGTACATGTCATTCATTCCCACATTATATCCCCTTCATAGACACGGTACATGGTTGTTACAGGTAGGGCAAACACTTTCTTCTATAGGTATCTGCCGGTTTCACGCTACATACATGTACTCAGATTATTGAGAAACGTAGCAACGCATGTTCTTCTCCATCACACATATATACCCAGTGATTCAGGATAGCGCTGCAGCAACTCGATGACACTTACGACATACACTATCATCTGCAGTAGTACTGCCATACCTAGCATTGTATTTATTACTCTCTTACATAAGGTGAAATATCACAGGGTCGTCATGATAACGATAATTTGGCATACTATTTATTGTCTTAACTTTCATCTGCGATCAGAATTTAAATCAGTTTTGACGTGAGCATGTTAAGAGAAAAGAAGCTGTAAAACGAATATTAATGTGATCGAACCTATAGCCCTTTGTAAAAGCGAGTTTCAAGCCTCCTACATAAAAAACGTTCACGATAAATATCTGCTAATCCGTGGCACGATTCCAAACCTATCATGAGCATGTGTTTGTGAATCACAATCAAATAGTGATGTTCCATGCCGCGTCAACAACACATTGAAACGCACGAGAATTGCAATACAGGCCCCTAAACCACTGATGCTCCATGACCTTGAGACACATGTGATTGAGCGTATGTAGGGACGGGTAAACAAGACACATGTGATTGAGCGTATGTAGGGACGGGTTTGGAAGACACATGTGATTGAGCGTATGTAGGGACGGGTATAGAAGACACATGTGATTGAGCGTATGTAGGGACGGGTAAAGAAGACAAAGGACAAAATGGATACTCGTGCTACTATACATTTGAATTATAAGTTAACATTCGTTCTTATAAACGCATACTTTCCAGTTTTAACCAAATGTACATTCGAAGGATCTCTTAATCTAGGTTAAGCTATTTGAATCACATTTACAATTAAAAGACCCAAACAATGGTCTGTTGTCAAAATGTTTTGTTTTCCATATCTTGTCCCAATCTGTATCCAGAGACTATATAATAGTCTATTATATGGTCTCTGCTGTATCATAGTCACAGAACGATATTATTTCCCCTTCCGCCCAGCCCTTACTGTAATGCTTACGCCCTAAATGAAGCATATTCCCAGGTCCAGCGTTTGTTATAATCTGCAGGAAAACTCACTGCAAGGTTTGGGTTGAGTAAACATACCAAACACCCATGGCTGTCGGGCAGCAACATCTTCAGTAACATTTACATCTGCCAACGCTTAATTCGAAAGTGGTGAGGCAATACGCAAATGAGGCTAAGGGTCCTGAGCCATGTTTGTGAAATATCTATGATGCCTTATATGAAGTCTATATATAACCTAAGCAAGTCCAGCTATGTATGACTTTAAGTCACTGCTTGAAGAAACGCTCCTTTAGAATATTTGTTTGGTACATATTAGCATTTCACTGACTTAATCATATTGGAAAACACATGGCAACCTATACTTCGTTGTGACTATGATTAAGATCATTGTAAAACACAAGGGATATTTCCTTTGAGTTAACTGACAGGCTTTCGGTGTCAAATATTTGGAACTCCGGCTAAAGGTGATGTTATGCTGTCTGGAAATATAGCTTTTTTTAATGATTTGGTTGCACTTAATGATAAGTGATTCTTAAATGTATATATGATGTTTTTTGAAGGATAATCTCAGTTGATTCAGAGACTTTGCACGTGTTTTCCCCCACTCTTTCCACACCCATCCTTCAGTTTGTATGTTTGTGACATGATCTGCACACTGATAACTTAATAACTGTTTGCAATCTTTACCCAGTTTAGTTTTCCATTTATTTAGCAATTTTCAGTTTCTATTATTTTCTGGAAATTTTGTACGGCGGTACATTTAACAGTTTCACCCAATAACAGTAAAGCATACAGACAATACGTTTCGGTACTATGATAGGTTGATAAGTTTACCTTATATTCCATGATATTGGGATGCCAAAATGATTAACATTATTTTATAATGTATAACAAATCAGACAGCAAAAGGCAAAAAAATTACAAACGCATGAGCAACATAAGTGATGTCAGGTAGTAAGCTTTCAATAATTACAGAAACTGCTTAGTTATCTAACTTTTTGAACTAATTGCAGTCACTAGAGTTTTCTATAATCTACCCCAGAATCAAAATAGGCGTACAGTATATTCCGTCGGGTAACTGAAATTTGAGAAAACGTCAGCATGAGACAATATCTGTATTCCGAATCAAAAAGAGCCCATCCCAAGTAGTGGTGTAACGACTCATCGACAATATCGATGTTTGCATAGTCAGCTATGCGATACGAATGCATAGATACAAAACACAATTAAGGAATACATCAGGATATATATACCCCGAGGGTCCCTGATACATCGATGTATCGCCACAAGAGACGATATATCTCGATACTACTTAAGTACTACTTAAAGTTGTGAGGAATATTGCATTAAAAATAGGAAGGGAGTCTCTTTGAAATCCTTCTAAAATTATAAACAAATTGAGCCTTTTAGGAATTTGTTTGTATCTGTTACATGAACAAAGGAGTTGGTGTAGAAGTGAAAGAGTGTGAACATGTTTCCAAACCTGTGAACTGTACAATACTTGTTTTCAAGTAATTGAAATATGTTTTAGTTGTTTGACAAATAACACCATTTATTCACAACTATGAATGATGTCATAGCTTTGTTAAGAAAGGGAACAAATATAAGATATAAATTGCATTGAATTGCTTGTGAAAGAATTGGTGCACAAACATAACTTCCCAAAGGAAATTTCAGTTTCAAATTTGTTTTGTGGCTTGCTGAACAATGACTGAACCTTCTTCAACATGAAATGTTGAAATTTTATTAGATCAACAGCTCTTTAAGTGTGTGAATGTAACACAGGTTTTAATGAATTTATAACTATTTTAAGTCACGATATGGCTGAAATATTGCCACTATGACTATAAACTTTAACTCACTTACTCACTCACTCTCGCCTCATTAATCTGGTATCAGGATATATCGTCTCCCCACTTAGGCTACGAAACACAGCTCTAATACCAAGTATGTGCATATTAACACATTTTACAACTGTTACAGTAATTTACATCGGGAATCATTAATACATTGTAATCATCTTGTTTTGAAAGTATAGAAATTTGTGCAGCTGTGATCATGAGCATGATAACTCATACAAGTGTGCACTAAAATTAGGGACCTACCGGTTCATGTCTGTGTGAACACACCTGTCTGTGTTTTGTTGCAATAAGGAGTCTCTCCTTGTATGTCATATATAAGAAGTATACCTAAGGTCAGTTATTTAAACTATAATGTAATTTCCATTACAAAAGGTATAAACGGTATTACCTACTGATCAGAAAGGCTTATCAGTACCCCACCGCCACCACCCTAGGCCTACCCCATCCCACACCCTCTCCCGCTCACACACATGCACACACATGCACACACTCCCCAACATACATATTGCTCTGGCCCATAGACCCAATATTTGAACCTTTTAAACCGACACCATGTGTATGTCAAGAAAGGCAGGCACGTTAATAGTGGTGCTGTCATGGGTATCACTTCGCCATGTGTTTCTAATGACCTCCGAGCATTATTTCGTGGTCCATCGCGCTAACGAACCCAATGTGACAGTTACAATACAGAACCATTGAAATACATGTTAAAGTAGTATTAATATTGTAACAGTATATTTACCCATGACCAAACATTTACGCGTGTACTAGATATATGACAAAAAACTTGATTTCAAAGGTATTAAGTCCTACAATCACAGCATTTACATACTTTACACATGCTAGAAAACACATGAAAACAAGGGCCAGATTTACACACCTGTGAAATACATGTAAATACAGAGTTGAGTGTTCGTTTATTTTAACACCCCTTTAAACGTGTGTAAATCTGACAGCCAGATGATACGTAGATTCCAAATGTTTGTTCATATGGCCGCCGGATGAAACGTATATTTCCTAACGTTAGTATATTTGGGTAATACAGTCATTTCCCGTGGTCGGTATTGTAATGAGATCAAACTGTCAGACATACAAAACGCCACACCATCCCTGATGGGTTCAGCTGCATAGAGGGGCGGTGGGGTAGCCTAGTGGTTAAAGCGTTGGCTCGTCACGCCGAAGACTCGGGTTCGAATTATGAGGCGTGACGTAGAACACTGTCCCGAGTGTATATTAGGCGACAGTCACAAGGGGACATTTAGATGATTCTGATCAGCATGAAAAGCAGGCACCATCCCTATTAGAAAATGGATGTTTTCACACTGGTACAACATGTGACCTGCTGGCACATATAGAAGCATGTGTTACAGCAATATCAGAAGAGCCAGCTATTACCACTTTAATTATTGACGGAGCTGTCACGGTTCAAAAGTTGAAACCTGGTACTGTCAAAACGTCTGATGATGTTACTCCGCTGCAAAACATCGCCATGAAAAGATTATGTTACGAACAGGAGCTGCAGATGTTGTAGTGCTTGCAGTAACGCTCAAAACATGTTGTCCCACCAACGCATGCAGCTAACCACCAACATGTACAGCATGTGAAAACACCAGCCTAACAGGCAGGACATATTGTAACAGTGAATATCCATTGGCCGAATTAGTCGTCATCAACGATGTCTTTGATGCCGTGGGTGCAGTCAGTATTTGCAAATATCAAAACAGACGTTGTAACTGTTAATGATGCACAACGATACTGTTGCGATGTGTCTGAACACAGATTATCAAGACCTTCGTACACATTGTGCCAGTGACTGCATGTCTGTGACCGTTCATCATGAAATTGAGGTTCTGTAGGGTGGTGGGGTAGCCTAGCGGTTAAGGCGTTCGCTCGTCACGCCGAAGAACCGGGTCCGATTCCCACATGGGTACAATGTGTGAAACCCATTTCAGGTGTCCCCCGTCGTGATATTGCTGGAATATTGGTTAAAAAGTGGCTTCAAACTAAACTCACTCACTCACACTCTGTAGGTTTTCCTCAGTGTAGTGGGATGTTTCAATCTTTCTTAGTGAGATGTTATATACCATCAAGACGTGATCCTAAGCAAACTTTGTGTATCATAACATACTGAGTCTAAAGAAACTTCACATTCTTTCTTCAGGGCACTATAAAAGAACAAGAGATGGTAAGATGGTGAAATTGTCATTATTTCATTGCTGAGATCTGTTTGATGTTCTCGAGACACTGACTGTGCCATAATCAGTTCAATTAGGCTACACCGCCGTTCCAAAACATGGGTATACAGAATGTCAAGTAACAAGAATAAAAATGTGAAATTTCTCAGTTCAATATCGTGTATGGCCGCCCCGCGCATTCTCCACTGACAAACACCGTCTCCTCATCGACTGCCTGATGCTTGTGAACACGTGGTTTGGGAGTCTGCGCCATTGCTTTTGCAAGGCAGCGCCAAGTTCCTGCAAATTCTGAGGTTGGTTCCTAAGACCACGAAGCCTTCTCCCAAGTGCATCCCAAACGTGCTCTATTGGATTAAGGTCAGGGGACCTCGATGGCCAGTCCATGACGTTGATTCCAGCGTTTTGAAGGAAATGTGTCAACATCGCGGTATGCGGCCGAGCATTATCATGCTGGAACTGTAGACCTGGGCCATGAGCCGCTATGAAAAGAACGAGTTCAGAGGTGAGCACCTGGTGGCGGTAAGCAGCAGGTGTGAAGTTTCCACGGATGACCAGAAGTCGTGAACGGTTGTTCCCATAGAAAGCACCCCACACCATGCAACTTCCGCCCCCGAATCTGTCGACTTCCTGTACACAACATTGGGCATACCGTTCACGACGTCGTCTCCAGACTCTATGCCTGCCATCCGCGAATCGGAGGGTACACCTGGATTCATCGCTAAAGACGACTCGATTCCAGTCTTTCTGGGTCCATCGGAGGTGACGCTGGGCCCACAGCAGACGTTGACGTTGATGAACCGGCGTCAATATTGGCCCACGATATGGACGTCGAGAACGGAGATTGGCAGCCCGCAACCGATTTCGAATTGTCTGTGAGGAAAGTCGACCTCTAAACATCTGAGCCCTGCTTCGTGTAGCCGGCAGAAATCTGTCACGTAGGTGACGTAGGACGATTTGACGGTCTTCTGCTCGTGACGTCACACGTGAACGACCCGACCTTGGGCGATCAGAAATGGTGCCAGTTTGTTGTAGAAGACCTCGCACGTGATCGACTGCACGTGCAAAACCTGATTTGGCACTAACGTCAATTGCACGACGAATGGATGGGTTTGAGTGGGTTTTGCTAACGTTTTTCTAGAGTCGAAAGATAGGGATCCCATTTCGGATACATAGATGTATCATCAGAGAAACATTATTCATTATTTCTCAAATTACATTTTGTGAAGTTTCCTTTTTCACTCAGTATATTACCAGAGCAACACTATGCGCTATGAAACTTCTGGATTAACAATAAACAGCAAAGTACGTCGCTATGTGTCTTGGGAGTAAGCCGATTATTCAGTATAATACTGATAGTCATGCCTGAGGCAGGGAGATATTCTACGGCTGCTTTAAACAACATCTGTTCTCTATTGGTAGTACATGTTTCCCCAGCTGTGTACACCCACACGGGCTTGGTGGCGACAAACATCACATAGCGAGACAACTCAACCCTTGAGGAAGAGTGAGCGAGTTTAGTTTTATGCCGCACTCAGCAATATTTCAGCTATATAGCGGTCGTATGTAAATAATCGAATCTGGACCAGACAATCCAGTGATCAACAACATGAGCATCGATCTCCGCAATTGGAATACGATGACATGTGCCAACCAAGTCAGCGAGCCTGTCCATCCAAACCCGTTAGTCGCCTCTTATGACAAGCATGAGTTACTGAAGATCAGCTCTAACCCGGATCTTCACGGATTCAGCCCTTGAGGAACCTGGATGAAGACACTGGAATTACCATGGCGAGTTAGTCCTACTCCCATTGCTGTGCAATAGGTTCCTTTCACAGGGAAGTCGGCGATAGGGAGGCAGGCTGGTGCGGTGTTGGAGATGGCGTTGAAATCAATGGTGCCAATCTTGAAGATCGCTACATCTTTGGTGGTAAAATATGCATCTAAATAAACATAAGTAAGTATATAATATGTTCAACAATTTTTAAAAAGCTTCCAAGCCTGATAGCTGTCTCTGTTGTTTAGTGCAATGGATGCTGCGTGTAGTTCGTGTGCTGTAGTGCACCTGTAGTTTGAGCGTAGTGCTCATGGACCGTGATTGTTACCTGTAGTTTGAGCATAGTGTTCATGGCCCTTGATTGTTACCTGTAGTTTGAGCGTAGTGTTCATGGCCCTTGATTGTTACCTGTAGTTTGAGCGTAGTGTTCATGGCCCTTGATTGTTACCTGTAGTTTGAGCGTAGTGTTCATGGCCCTTGATTGTTACCTGTAGTTTGAGCATAGTGTTCATGGCCCTTGATTGTTACCTGTAGTTTGAGCGTAGTGTTCATGGCCCTTGATTGTTACCTGTAGTTTGAGCGTAGTGCTCATGGACCGTGATTGTTACCTGTAGTTTGAGCGTAGTGTTCATGGATCGTGATTGTTACCTGTAGTTTGAGCGTAGTGCTCATGGACCGTGATTGTTACCTGTTGTTTGAGCGCAGTGCTCATGGACCGTGATTGTTACCTGTAGTTAGAGCGCAGTGCTCATGGACCGTGATTGGACCAAAATTACCTACAAACTCGTTATCAGAACAATCTGAAAAATGGTAATCCCTCTATGAATCATATTGACTACAATATTCTTTGATAAAAAGCATTACCGATACAGTCACCACGTACAGTAAACATGCGTTAAGCAATGTCAAAACATATTTGCATATGAGGAAGTCACATTTTAATCAAATGATTATTCTGTCTGAATTAATGGTAGACTACTCTAAATTCTCCTTGATAAGATAACAACATTTTGAAACATCAAACGATAACACTTCAGGTCTCTTAAAAAATGAAGGTTTGGCAAGCCCTCAATACTATCTAAATATGTAGCTTTGCAGCTTGGTCTTACACGATAAAATTGGCTTGCTGTATTTCTCAAGGACCGTGATAGTTACGCGTACTTCGTGTGCTGTATTTCTCAAGGACCATGATGGTTACGCGTAGTTCGTGTGCTGTATTTCTCAAAGACCATGCTGGTTACGTGTAGTTCGTGGGCTGTATTTCTCAAGGACCATGATCGTTACGCGTAGTTTTTATGCTGTATTTCTCAAGGACCATGCTGGTTACGTGTAGTTCGTGTGCTGTATTTCTCAAGGACCATGATCGTTACGCGTAGTTTTTATGCTGTATTTCTCAAGGACCATGATTGTTACGCGTAGTTCGTGTGCTGTATTTCTCAAAGACCATGCTGGTTACGTGTAGTTCGTGGGCTGTATTTCTCAAGGACCATGATCGTTACGCGTAGTTTTTATGCTGTATTTCTCAAGGACCATGCTGGTTACGTGTAGTTCGTGTGCTGTATTTCTCAAGGACCATGATCGTTACGCGTAGTTTTTATGCTGTATTTCTCAAGGACCATGATGGTTACGCGTAGTTCGTGTGCTGTATTTCTCAAAGACCATGCTGGTTACGTGTAGTTCGTGGGCTGTATTTCTCAAGGACCATGATAGTTACGTTTACTTCGTGACCTGTATTTCTCTCGAACCGTAATGATTGTTACCTGAAGTCTCTGCATTGTAGTTTTCATGCATATAAACTCTTTTGACGTTGAGCTGGGAGTTTGAAAGTATTCAGGTATGATCGCCGACATTGACGCTCATTAGATCAGCATTGTGTTGACTAGAAAAGGGGTAGTATACACGATGGTGGTTCTACCGCGCTAAAGAAAAATAATGATAAAATAAGAAGGAAAGAAAAGAGAAGAGGTGCATTCGTCCACTTGAGTCTATGGAGACACTTTTTGTCTTCCTTGTTCTCTTCCCCCAACAGTTGACCCAACACCAAGGCAGGTATACGGAAAACAAAATGGAGTCCAGCGCAGAAACAAACAAAACAGTATGTCGATGGGGGTTTGGACCACTCCCCTAGATCGTGTTGTTTCTATGCCTCCTCCAGACAGGGGCTTGCCCAAGGGAAAACCACCGACGATTAAAACTCCGATCCGAAAAAACTTCTATCAAAACTCCAGAAAGTACAAAACTCTGCAGCTCGACTTGTCAGCAAAGTTCCCTCTAGGATCCACATAACGACTGTTCTTAAGTCTCTTCACTGGCTACCAATCAGAGCCAGAATTAAATTCAAGGTCCTGAGTCTTGCCTACCAGTGTTACCATCTTACGGCTCCAGACTACCTTGTTGAGCTAGTCACCAAGCACAATCCTTCCAGAATGTTAAGATCGGCAGATAGACACCTTCTCACTATTCCCAGACAGAAACTCCGGGCATTCGGATATCGCTCCTTCAGCTATGGTGCTCCACAGTTGTGGAATCAACTCCCTTATTATTATTATTATGTTTTACAGATTAAAGATTGTATGCAGCAGAGAGGGTTCAGGGGGATCGGGTGATCCTGGCACAGTCAGGCTGGTAAGGCTCATCATCAGCTCAGGGCCCTTGCCCCTCTACACGCAGCCCAGACAGCGAATGGGACTTCTCCCAGGAAACGCTGCCTAGTCGAACCCACCAAGAACTTTCCGGAGAATATGAAGGCTTCCCAACACTGCAGCCTTCTGCATTACCCAGAGTGTCAGAAGGGCTGTACTCCCGGTGGAGAACCCGGGCACTCTCCTGATCTGCGCCAAGAGATCAGGAGGTACCAAACCAAGGGCACCGAGAACAATGGGGAGCCTGACGACAGTGTACTTGGGATGCAAGCGAGACATTTCAAAGGCGAGGTCCGCATATTTATCATGCTTTTCCTTAATCTTGCCAATCACATTGGTGTCAAAAGGGACAGAAAATTCAATGATATAAATAAATTCATTGGCTTTATCAAAAAGGACAAGATCAGGTTTGTTAGCTGGAATTCTTCTGAGGCTGTATATGGGCCTATTCCACAGAAGTTTGAAAGCATCATTTTCCATGACGCCCTGGACATGTTCAGGGTCGTACCATGGATGGACCTCGGAGTCAAAGCCACAGGCATGTCGGAGACGGTAGTAAAAGCAACGAGCCATGCCATCATGTCGTTTAAGATATGCTGTTTGTGCCAAGGAAGGGCATCCACTGACAAGGTGTTGGACAGTCTCTGTAAATTCATTGCAAAGTCGACATTTCATGTTAATATTCTCTTTAAGAATCACATTTAGGCGATTACGAGTGGGAAGTGACTGGTCCTGAGCAGCAAAAAGGAAGCCCTCAGTTTCACATTTAAGACCAGCCGACTTCATCCAGGCGAAGGAGTCGGTGGGATTGCTATTCTGTTCAACACACTGCATGTACACACGATGCAATGGCTTCTCAGAAAGCTTCTCCACAAAAGACCGACTCTGGGCAGACTTGGTAAAGGACTTCACCTGGTTTACTCCCATCGCTGTACCGTCCAGCAGTACATTGCCATCAGCAAAGTCAACCTCAAATTTCAGATTCTGTCCAACAACCTTGGCACGCTTAAAATAGCTGTGGAATTCCTTGCTTTCATCATGAGTCTTCACATGCATCACCAGAGGATCATCCGATAAATAAATATGTGCAAAAGTACACAATAAAATTCTGTCATGAAGAGCCTCCACATTAATCAAACCCCGACCTCCAGAATTGATTGGCATGTATAAACGGTTAAGAGAGGAACGAGGGTGGTGGGCTCTGTTATCAGACATGATCCTTCTGGTCAGACGGTCAAGACTCTGGATGTCTTGTTTTGTCCAATCAACTACTCCAAAGGAATAGGAGAGGACTGGCACAGCAAAAGTATTGGTGGCTTTGACCTTGTTACGAGCATTTAGCTCTGAGCTCCAGATTTTCTTTAAACGAGATTTATACTCGGCCCGAAGTTTTTCTTGAATCTGGGCATTCTGGAGCTTGTCTCGAACTTGCATTCCAAGATAGGTGTAGGCCTGATCTTCCACAAGATGCTCAATAACTCCTCCCCCCTTGTAACCTGACCGATCCATCATTAGTTACCTTGCCACGTTTCAAATGAAGAGTATTACATTTGTCGAGTCCAAATGTCATGCCAATATCATTAGAAAAGGACTCGACAAGGAGAACCTGCTCTTTCAAATTGGAATCTCCTTTGGCAAGGAGTTCGATGTCATCCATGTAAAGGAGATGAGTAAGAGGTGTTGGGGATCTGTGCTGAGGAGGTCCGGGATGGTAACCCTCCTCTTTATTGAGCAGAAAGCTCAAAGGATTTAGAGAAAGACAAAAAAGCAAAGGACTAAAGGAATCCCCCTGAAATATTCCCCTTCTGATTGGAATAGATTCCGAAGTCTGCACCTGCCCTTGTGAGTACATCTCAAGTTGAGTCGACCAGCAACTCATTAAAGACTTGAGTAAATCAAGTAGTCGCTCAGGGAGGTCAATACAATGAAGAGACTTCAGAATCCATTCGTGAGGGACAGAGTCGTATGCTTTTTTGTAGTCAATCCAGCACATGGAGAGGTTGCGGTGATATGTTTTAGCCTCTTCCAAAATCATTTTCTGTACAAGAAGTTGATCCTTGCACCCCCAACATCCCTTTCTTGCTCCCTTCTGCTCTCTGTAAATTATATCATTGGAAGAGCAGTAAGATGACACGAGGTTTGTCAAACACCCTGTGAATATTTTGTATTGTGTATTCAAACATGTGATAGGGCGGAAGTTTTTGGGATCAGTCAAGTCTCCTTTCTTGGGGAGAAGTATTGTGCGACCTTTGCAGAACCATGGAGGAACATCACCTGTGTCCACGAGAGTATTGAAACAGTGTAGTAATGGTGTTTGGACACAGGGGAACAGTTTCCAATACCGGTTTCGAATGCCATCAGGCCCTGGAGCTGTATTAGATTTGGACTTTTTTATAACACTTTTCAGGCAATCTGGTGAGATGTAACAGACAAACGACCTAGTTACCTTCTCATGCATTGCATGGTCATAATCACGGACCCATGGTGCCTCAAGGTTACAGTTGCCGGGTACAGACCACAACTGTTTCCAGAACCTTTCATTGGCATCCATGGGAGGCCGTTTGTCATGTTCACCATCACCTTTTGTTTTCAGTTGCCTGTAGAAGTGTTTTTCATTATTTCTAAAAAGTTTATTTTGTTTGATGAATTTATTTTTCTTTTCCCATTTTTTCTTTCTTTCAGTCCAAACCTTTATTTTGGCCTTAAGGGAATCGACAATTTGGAGAAGTACCTTTTCTTTTGTTGTCTTGTATTGTAATTTTAATTTTCTCCAAATTGACTTTTGCCGTTTTGACATTGGACTCCCTGATGATCTTAACTTCAGGCACAGTTCTATCCAGGAAATGTATTTTCTAGTTTCCGTTAGTTTTACTTGAAACCGGTTTTTCTTTGGTGTATTGTTCTTAGTGTTAGATGTTTTTCTTTGGAAACTGTGTGAATTTCCTCCAAGGTTCGAGCAGCAGCATAGACACAACAATTAACTTCATGTAATGAACAGTCCGATGAAAGTTTCATAGAAATAATATCATTTAATAAATTGATTTCATTTTTGGGAAAAGATTCATTTGTTTGTTTAATTGGCCTCCGATTTTCTAAAGGTATGCCAGATATTTCATCATAAATAGAATGAAACAAAATATACACAGGGTTTTCGGAAAGATCTGCAACTGAAGAAGAGGAAGAGTGAGGGTCTGAAATTTCGGGGCCAATTAGCTCTTTGTCGGAAGAGTTTCCATCAGCAAGAGGAAAGAGGTTGACACGGACGTCCATTAGAAGTTTTGGGTCTGCTGCCACTTGAGCATTCTGTTCATGCAAAGGTTCCTGACGGGCACCAGTTGTGGGTTGAACTGGCTCACGGGGCAAGAGATTTTTAAGCCGCCGGAATTGATCTCGGAGATTTTGCTCCGTCAGGTAAGCATACATGGGCATGGCATTGTCCCAATGCAGCTTCAGCGACTTGCCATTGATTCGTGGATTTTCAGGCCATCCTGTCGCTCTCGCACACTCAAGTAGTGTGGTTTTAAGGTGGTTTGACCAAGATATTCTTGGTCGGGTTCTGTGCCTTCCCCTGGGGCAAGTCCCATCTCCAGTGTGGTTGGTTTCACTACCGGAGGAAGGCTGACTGGGCTGCGGAAGTGAATTTAAACTTTCCTTTTGGCTGTCTGTAACCCAGTGAAAAACCAGCTTCGGGGGGTCAGCCCTAACTGGGTGATGCACGTTTGGTTCAGGGAATATAATTCCCCTATCTAGGCCCACCACGGAGAGGCGTACATCATCAGGCCCTTATTATTATTATTATTATTATTATGTTTTACAGATTAAAGATTAAAAATTGTATGCAGCAGAGAGGGTTCGGGTGATCCTGGCACAGTCAGGCTGGTAAGGCTCATCATCAGCTCAGGGCCCTTGCCCCCTCTACACGCAGCCCAGACAGCGAATGGGACTTCTCCCAGGAAACGCTGCCTAGTCGAACCCACCAAGAACTTTCCGGAGAATATGAAGGCTCCCCAACACTGCAGCCTTCTGCATTACCCAGAGTGTCAGAAGGGCTGTACTCCCGGTGGAGAACCGGGCACTCTCCTGATCTGCGCCAAGAGATCAGGAGGTACCAAACCAAGGGCACCGAGAACAATGGGGAGCCTGACGACAGTGTACTTGGGATGCAAGCGAGACATTTCAAAGGCGAGGTCCGCATATTTATCATGCTTTTCCTTAATCTTGCCAATCACATTGGTGTCAAAAGGGACAGAAAATTCAATGATATAAATAAATTCATTGGCTTTATCAAAAAGGACAAGATCAGGTTTGTTAGCTGGAATTCTTCTGAGGCTGTATATGGGCCTATTCCACAGAAGTTTGAAAGCATCATTTTCCATGACGCCCTGGACATGTTCAGGGTCGTACCATGGATGGACCTCGGAGTCAAAGCCACAGGCATGTCGGAGACGGTAGTAAAAGCAACGAGCCATGCCATCATGTCGTTTAAGATATGCTGTTTGTGCCAAGGAAGGGCATCCACTGACAAGGTGTTGGACAGTCTCTGTAAATTCATTGCAAAGTCGACATTTCATGTTAATATTCTCTTTAAGAATCACATTTAGGCGATTACGAGTGGGAAGTGACTGGTCCTGAGCAGCAAAAAAGGAAGCCCTCAGTTTCACATTTAAGACCAGCCGACTTCATCCAGGCGAAGGAGTCGGTGGGATTGCTATTCTGTTCAACACACTGCATGTACACACGATGCAATGGCTTCTCAGAAAGCTTCTCCACAAAAGACCGACTCTGGGCAGACTTGGTAAAGGACTTCACCTGGTTTACTCCCATCGCTGTACCGTCCAGCAGTACATTGCCATCAGCAAAGTCAACCTCAAATTTCAGATTCTGTCCAACAACC